AAAACTTTAAAATAGTTGAAAAGCTATAGGCAAATAAAAAAAAAAATTAATATATAAAATTTAATTTTAAAAACTATATATTTGAAGATTAAAGAAGATTCACATCTCTTCTATTTTAAATTATTATTAATTAATATGACATTACACGCTTAATTTCCAAACTTTTGCAAATTCAAAAGTTGTGAGTCATGTTACATCTGATCATGCAATTTGATTGGTTTCGCAATCAATAATTTTGGCAAGATTCTATTGTCTAATTGAGATGAATCGAATAGCAAATCGTTTGTTTCTGATTACTAAGTTATGAGAAATGTAAATTTAAGTTGTCGATTTTACATAAAATCCGACTCGCTTATTGAGATTTTGATTCTCAAGAATTTAATTGGCCCCGTTTTTCACTTTGCATGTACGTACGTACGTACGTATTGGCTATTCCTTTTTGGGTTTTGTAACATTTATTAATGAAGCCGGGGAAGACCGGGGATCGCAGGTTTTTTACAACTCAGTATTAGCACAGTAAAATTTTGGGAAACTTGTAAATTTGATTACAATACACTTATTATACATACAGGCATAAACAGGGATTTCCGTTGCTGGACTTTTTAATACGAACGAAAAGTTCAAATTTTATGATAATCGCTGAAAATAAGGTGATATGTAAGTGAGATTAGTATGATTTTGATGCTAGCCCTATTTATCTTAATACATACATAAAATACGTACGTACGTTTGTCATGAACACAATTTTAACAAAAAAAAGTACAAAATTCAGTAAATAGTTTTTATTCTTTTTTGAAGATACATTATAGTTTGGGCATGAGTAAAGCAAGCTAAAGGTTTGAGATATCAAAAACGTACGTACGTACATCCACTTCTGTCCAAATTAGAAGGAAGCATTGTTTTATAAGATGTAACACACTTTGCAGCTATGGGTAAATTGTGTCTCCTAACTCCGATTGGATATTTAAAAAAAAGGATTATGATTGTAGTATAATATTGTTTGTTTTGAATTTTGTCTCAATCACAAGAGACTGTTAATTCAACAATAGAATTTCTTTAGACATAGTTCACAGAATTCGCAAGTTTCCTTTCATATTCCAATCATGCGGTTTACGATTTTTATTATCGCCTTTATTACGATTGTTTCCGGTCTAGATAATGGTCTCGGCAGGACGCCTCCTATGGGATGGAATACTTGGAATCATGTAAATATTTCTCTTTTTTTTTTTTTTTTTTTTTCGGTAAACGCATTAAAAAGTTTAAATTAACATCTTAAAAGTTTCAATGTCATGTTAACGAGCAACTACTTAAAGATTCCGCCGATGCTATGATAGAGTTAGGGTTCTTCAAAGCTGGCTATAAATATTTAAATCTTGGTGAGTTTATTGATTCGACAAATAAGTACTATAAGTTACCATAGTATTTTACAAATTGCTCTTGATTTATAGATGATTGTTGGGAAGGGATAAGAGATGAAAATGGATATATCACTACTGATCCGAATACGTATGCATAACTTTTTTTTTTCTTTTAAATAAGCATAAAATTTGGCATTTGATTAATAAAAATTGCCTTGTAATTAAGATTTCCTGGTGGAATTAAAGGTAATTATTACATTTCCAAAATATAGCACTCGGTGGCAAATTTACAAAAATTAACTTTACATGTATTATTTAAGCTCTTGCGGATTATGCGCATTCAAAAGGGTTATTATTCGGGATTTATAGTGATGCTGGACGTCTAACTTGCGCTAGACGTCTTGGATCTCTTGGTAATTTTTCTTTTTTAACTAATCTTTGATTTTCTAATATTTCAGTACATATAATTTTATATATAATTTTATAGGTTATGAAGATAAGGATGCTCAAAGATATGCTGAATGGGGAATCGATTTTTTAAAGTATGATAATTGTCATAATGATGGTTCACCAGAAAGACAACGTTATGAGGTATGTTATTTTTAATGAATTCAGTATTTAATGTTATATGCTAATATTTACTTACTCTATTAGAAAATGCGAGATGCACTCAATGGTATGATCATTATAATATGAATAGTGTATTATATAAAATTAACTCGTTTTTTTTTATAGCGACTGGAAGACCAATTTTTTATAGTATATGTGAATGGGGGTAAGGAAACAATATATTACAATGTAAAAGTTTAGTGTTATGGGCTAAACGGTTTTTAGAATACGAACATTTCTCCTGAGAAATATAGATAAACGTTTCGGTTAAGCTATAATAATGTAATGTCATGTAAGACTAATTATTTTTGGAATCCGATATGTTTACACGAGTAATTTAAATTTCACCAGTGCGAAAGTTTCGGTTTAGCTCATGACGCAAGTCAAAGTCATGCTACTTATCTAAAATTTCATAATATTGCGTATTAGGAAAAGTAAACCTTTCCTTTGGGGTAGGGAAGTTGGTAATAGGTAGTTTTTCATCCCTCTATTGAGCTTTTACTCACATTTAAACGTAATAATTAACCTTTTATATAAACTATAGCTGGAGAACGACTAATGACATTAGAGCAACTTGGGCATCTATTATATCAATTTTACAAAAGCAGCAAATGATCACGGCGTATGCAGGACCAGGAGGCTGGAATGATCCTGATATGCTTCAAATTGGTAATGGCCATCTTACCTTAGATGAGCAAAAAAGTCATTTTTCTATTTGGGCTGCTTTGAAATCACCCTTACTACTTGGATTTGATGTAAGTTTCATTATCATAAAATAATTTATGAATTGAAATTATAGTGATTTAGTCTACGTGTTATATATACATAGATCAGAAATCCTCCTCCGGATGCAAAAGAAATAGCGTTAAATGAGGAAATAATAGCTGTGAATGTAGGTCTAACCTTTTTCTTTATTTGTGGTTATCTTTTTAAAACTATTAATCATCTCAAAAAAATATATTTATATGTAAATATTATATTATCTCGTGAATAGCAAGATCCTCTCGGAAAGTCCGTGTCCATTGTTTCACGCACAGTCTTTTATGATATTTGGACTGGGCCACTCGTTGATGGTTATATTGCAGGTATTCATGCAAAAATATGATGAATATTTTAACAATCCACTATTTTATTATATTTGATTCTTAATTAATATTGCCAACATATTTTGTAATAGTTTTGTTTAATCGTGGAGAAATTCCACGAGTAATTACATTATATTTCGCGTCTCATTGTGGTCTTGAAGGTGAAATTGCAGTTCGAGATCTTTGGGAACATGCTGATAAAGGAAATTTTACAACAAGGTTTGTTTAATTATCAAAATTTTGAATTACCAAATTACAAATACATCCGTTTTGTAATTCATTATTGATTTAATAATAAATAATTCAATACCAACATTTATCAGTTTCGTCTCAAGAGTCCCAAGACACGGTGTAACAGTTTTAAAACTTACAGGTGGTATTCGGGTTTTAAAACATAATGAGCCAGTATTTTTACGATATGTTTGGAATGATGATATTGTCGACGATCAAATTGATATTTCAATTAACGGCGATAAAGTTTATTAGAATTAAAGAATGTATAACTGTTAAGTAGATTATTTAAGTTCGGATTTAAGATTAGACTTAAATAGAAATGATTAACTATTAGTAATATTGGTGGTCAAATTTTAGAAGAAAATTATGAAGCTATAGCTTAATAAAATGAATATTTTTTGGTATCTTTGAACTTCAAGGACCATTATAGCATACAATATATTCCAAAATTTACAGCTTTACTGTACAAATAAGGTTTTTATTAATTGTTAAAGAGAGCGTAAAGGAAAAAAATGCAAAAAGTCGCGCCATATAAGTAAAAAGAATAAATAATAAATATATAGATATAAATGAAATAATATCAAAAAACATATAAATACGTATATGAGTTATGTAGAACAGTGCAATTTAAATAATAAACATAATAGATTAAATGTCTATATAACCCTTTACTGATGATAAAAATGACAAAATATGTAAAAAAAAATTTTTTTATACAAAATATTATGTGTTCATACTCAAAAAATCCAGTACATAAAAAAAAGAGACAAATGTTCAAATAAAGAATAACCGAAAATTCTTAGAAACACATGAACTTGCTTCTCTTTGCCATAAGTTCTTCCATACGATTTTCTAATTGCCTTCTTGCTTTTTCCGCGCTCTCTTTAGCTTTTCTTTCTTCTTCCAAAACAGTTTCTATAACTTTCTTTTCTTCTTGCACAGATGATTTCGCATTTTCATATTGTGCTGTAGTCTCATCTAATTGCGATTTCAATCGTTTAATTTGATCCACTAGATCCATTTTTTCACGTTGTAGTATTTGTAATTGTTGTTTTGCAACGCGAAGATTTGTTTCACTTTCCGCCAATGAATTTTCTAACGTTTCAACAACTTGTCGAGTTTCGATACTTTCTCCTTCCATTTTTGCAACCTTCCTATGTAATTTATGTATCTCCACTGTAAGTTCAACTGCCGGTGTATTAGAAAGATCTATATTTAAGCCGTTTCTTGAATTCGGTCGCGACGACGAAAGAGGAATTCGTGGAGTCGGTGATGCACATCCAGGAGTTGATGATCTTGAACCTGAAGTTGGAGGTGCTGACGGTAAAGGATGACTTGGTGGCGGTGTAGGTGGTGGTGTCATTGGCTGATTTGCTATAGCCGCGACTCCAGGCCGTTTTTTCTTAGCTGCATCTGATGCATTTGACATTACTGACATGGTGGAAACTCGGAATCCACCAACTGCATCAAGATCTGTGGCTAACATTCCACTGGCAAGTGACATTTCATGCAATGACTCTTCATCACTACGTGATTCTAATTCAATGATTTTTTCTTGCAGTGCTTTTATTAAGTTACTTTGTTGAATAATAGTGCTTTCTTGTCGCAAGAGTTTAGAATGTATAGAATTATCTAAACTTTGAGTACGTGCACCAGCATGTGGTGAAACATTTCCTAAAGGTCCTTTGAGCGATTTCAGTCCAACTTGAGTCATTTCTTTTTCAAGCCTTAGATTAACTTCAGCCAATCTTGTGATTTCCTTTTCCATCTCCTTATGTTCCTCTACAGATTTTTGTTTTACACAAGAAACTTCATTTTCTAATTCAGAAATCTTTGTATTTAATTCTGAAAGTTGTATAGCTGCTTCATTTCCATCTTGACCTACTGAATGTAATTGTTGTAGTAAAGTATCAATTTTTTGATCAAGTTTTTTTCGTTCTTCACAGAATGCAAAGTTAGCTTGTTCTAATCCTTCTTTTTCAGCTTCAAGTTCATGTATTTTTTCTTTAAATCTCAAAATTGAATTTCCGGAAACATCATCTTTACTAACATATTGAAGTGTTTTGAGTTCACTTTCTAATGATTTTATTTTTTGTGTCAAAATAGACATACGGGATTGAGCCTGGAGAATTTTAACATTTAAATTCTCATTTGTTTGTCGTAAAATTTCATTTGTAGAAGACAATTTTGCGAGTGCAGGACTTGTAATTGCATCGTTCAGTGAGGTCTCGCCTGTTGAAGAATAAATCTCTCTCATACTCTTCATTTCTATGAGAGAATTATCCAACCCATCAATTTGTTTTTTTTGCTTTACTAAATATTCACCGGTATCTTCGTATTTAGCTGCCGACTCTGCAAAATCTCCAGCTAACGACTCCAATTCTTTTTGAAGCCTTTCAACTTGTTTTAGAAGTTCTTCATTATCTTTTTCTTTTTCTTTCTTATCAGATTCAAGTTTTTGAGTCATCTCTTCTAATTTATCAACACGTTCCTGATATGTTTTGGATTCCTTACGTGCCTTTTTCAATTGTTTATTAAGATCTTCAACAACGGAAACATCAACCTTTTGGAAATCATGGATTAAAGCATCTTTGTACGCGTCGTCAAGTTCGGCTTGTAAATTTATACATCGTTCTTTAAGCTTGTTAATTTCTTCTGCAGCTTCTTTAACTTTGGAGCTTGCTTCATCACGACGTTTTTCAGCTTCTTGAATTTGAAGTTCCAAAGTCTGAATGAGATTAGTTTGTTCTGCTGCTGCTGCTTTAGCTTCTTCGAGTTCAGCCTTAATTTTAACTAAGGAAGCTTTCAATTCAACATATTCTGGGTTGTTTAATAAGTCATCATCTGGATTTACTACTTTAACTTCTAGCTCCATAACAAGTTCAGATGATACACATTCACGAAGTTTTGTTTGAATACTGCAAAGTTTAACCTCAAGCTCATTGACACGTTCACATTCGATGGCTTCTGAAATTCTTGCATTATCAAGTTGAATTTTTGCTTTTTCCGTTGAAGCCTCTAATTCTTTGAGAAGAGCATCTTTAGAGGAAAGTAATTGTTCCTTTTCCAGTATAGCAGCATTGGTTTCTTTCAACTTGACTTCAAGTCCGATTACAACCTTCGAACGATTCTCCTCATGTCTTTTTGCTTCATCTAACTGTAATTCTACAGTAGCAAGACTCTCTTTGAGTTTAGCAATTGTATCCAAATCCATTTGTGATGAATTTTTTTTTTCAGCAAGTTCTTCTTGCAATGAAGAGATCATTGATTCAAGCGTAGCAATTGCTACTTTTTGTTCGGCTTCTTTGACTTCAAGCTCCATTATTAATTCTTTTTCACGTTTAAGATATTGGTCACGCTCTTGTTCTGCAGCCATCAGTTGAGTTCCCAGTTCTGCTAATAGTTCATTCTGTGCACCCATTTTATGCTTAGCATTAAATAATTCCTCTCGAAGAATAGAAACATCTTGTTCGTTAGCTTCGTTTGACGCGGACGATTCCTGGAGTTGAATTTCCAAAACTTGAATCCTGTTTTCTCCTTCATCACGTTGCCTCAAAGTATCACTTAGTAATATAGATAAATCCTCAAATTTCTTGCTAACTTCTTGATTATCTTGCTTAGATTTTGTTAACTCTTCTCTCATTTGCTTTAGTTCTCCCTCAAGTGTGACTACAAGTTCCTTTTGTGCGCCAAAATCTTTTTTTAAAAGACTCAATTCTATGAGAGCATGTTCTTTTGCTTGAGTAGTTTCCTGAAGTTCAGCTTGTAACTGATTAATAGTTAGACTTTGGTCAGACTTTAAAGCATTTAATAATTCAATTTCTTCCTTTATCTTTTGTACATTCTCGGATTCTTTTTGGGCATTAGCAAGTTTTTGTTCCAATTCTTGAATTGATTTTTCTAATTCTAATTTACGAAGTAACAATGTGGCAATGGTTTGACTTTTAATTTCGATTTCAGCTTGAAGTTCTTTAACTTGACATTGCAAAGTCAACAATTCGTTATCAATATTTTCTGACTGTTCTTTTTTCAAAGTTTCATCATTATTATGAATTGATACATCAACTTGTTCTTGGCGTTGAACTCCTTTTGCTTCGTTTTGTAATTCATCAACAGATTCTGTGGGTGTATCATTAACTGAATTTTTTGACAACTGCTCTTTAAGAACTTGAATGTTAGCTTCAATTTTCAAAACTTCTTGATCCTTATCTTGATTCTCTTTCTCTTGCTGTAAAATAATTTCCAAAGCTTTTCTTTGTTCCTCTTTTAAATGTTCTACTTCTTCTCTTAACCTTTGAATAATTTCTTGCTCATCTAATTCACTAGTCGTAGCACTGTAATCGGTACATTCGCTAGCAACAACAGACCTAACCTCTAACTGTTCTGAATGTGTTAATGCATCACGCCTCTTGATCTCTTCATTTAATTCTTCAACTATTTCCAAAGTTTCGCGATGAGTACATTCCAATCTCGCGAATTCCTGTTTAATAGCATCTAATCCTTGTGATTTGTCCCGATGAAGTAATTCAAGCTGTTTTATTTCATTCTGTAACTTTTGTACTATTTCAGCATGGGTTTGATCACGTTTTTCATTATCTTTAGTCTCTACAGTTAAAGATTTAGTCCTACGATGTTGTGTAATGCGCTTTGGAGGTGCAGTATCATTGTTGCTGGGTTCATTTAATTTCAAAGTTGGTGGCAAGGACATTCGGTCCGTATTAATACGCTTTAAATTGTGAAACCGGGATTTTGGTGTCCTTGGTGTCGTAGGTGATGAAGGTGTTGAAGGTGTAGAAGATTTTGAATCAGAATCAAAAATGTCGGAGTGGCAAAGCTTTGCTTCTGTTAATTGTTGTTGAAGTTCATCAATTTCACACAGACATTCTTCATATTTTGATTGAATTTCTGCAAATTCTGTAACTGTTTTTGAATGAGCTTCTTGCAAATTCAGTAATTTTGATTCTAATGTAGCCACAATGAGTTGTTCTGGTTTTTTTATATAATCTTCCAAAGAAGCAGGTGAAACAGATCGACCACAATCAGGAAACTCGGTTTCATGAGACTTAAGCCTTCTTAATAGTTCCAACTCGTGTACCAAGTCATCAGCTTTCTTTTCAAGTTTCATAATCCTTCGATCTCTATCTTGAATTTCGTAGGCCAACAATTTTTGGTTCTCTTCCAGAGTGCATTTTGTCCTCTCTTCTAATTCCAAGTATGCAGCTTCGCGTTCTTCCAACCTTTTTTCGAGCCTTTCAATAGTTTTACTGAATTTTTCAACTTGTTCTTCACTTCCTTTCAGCCTTGATTCCAAATCGCAGATGTATCCTTCACTATTTTCTGAATTATTTTTCAATTGTACAATCTTATTTTTTAATTCATTAATCAACTCTTGATCTTTTTGTTGTTCCAACACAAAAGTTTCCAATTTACGTTCTAAATCCCTAATGTATTGTTCGTTAGTACTTTCATGTTCGCTTAGATTATTAATTTTTAATCTCAATTCATTAATAAGAGTGATATTTTGTTCATTGATTTGTTCTGCATGCACAAGTTTTGATTCTTGTTCTTGCATAACCGTTTCAGTGTGGCTTAGAGCAGCCCTCGTAAGTGCTAATTGAGATTCTAAATTTGAAATTGATTTTTCGTATTCTTCAATTACAGGTTCTACAGCTTTTTGAAAGTTTGCCAGTTTTAGCTCTTCCTCCGCTTCTTCAGTTATGGACTCTAAACTATTTTGGGAAGTAAATTTAGAATTTGTTGGAGAGGCTACATCAGAAGAATTACGTAGAGACGAAGAATCCATATTTTCTTGATGAATGGCAAGTTCAGCAGAAGTTTTTGCATATTTTTGAGATAATTCAGAATAAGATCTTTGTAATTCTAATAATTGTTCTTCAAGCACTTCAATATCTTTGTCATTCTGTGATTTTGAAAATTCACCAGCATTTGTTACTATAGAAAGACTCGTTGAGGACCTTTTTGATCCTCCACCATGTCCTCCATACATCATTGTAGGAGTATTCCTTCCAGACATCATTGTAGGAGTATTTCTTCCAGACATCATAGTAGGAGTACTCCTTCCAGAACCACAATTTTCACTTCCTTCGATTAAACCATTGGGTAAACTTGAAGTTTTTAGAGATTTAATTTCTCTTCGCAATTTTAAAACCAATCCTCGTAAATGATCTAAATCATTCCAGCCAACTTCTTCAGCATTAACAGTTGCACTATTCTTGATATTTCTCGCACGATTAGCATATTTAAGAGTATTTAAAGACTCAGTAAGATTTGATTCAGTAGGTGACACGCAAGCAATCATTAAAGTTCTTGCATTACCACCTAAAGAGTCTTGTAGTAAACGAGTAAGTTTAGAATCACGATATGGAATATGAGTTATGTGTTTAGCTTTTGTAGGATCACCAAGAGCAGAAATTACGTTGCCTAGAGCGAGAAGACCCGAATTTATGGAGATACCTTCCTTCGCACGTTCACCTATAGCAGATGTTCGTTTCAACTGTTTTATATAGTAACCCAAAATTGGTAAAAAAAAATTTTTTTAGTACATATATTATATAAGGAATGTAAAAAATGTGATAATAATATAATACATACCCTCTCACTACCAGCCAAATCCACAAAATGAAATTTACTTGAAATAGAAACACAATCACTATCATCCAATCTTCTACTCATTCTCAAACTACTTCCTGGCCTCATTTTTGAAGGAGTTGATGGTCTACTGGTAGGTGATACTGGAGAATTTGGAGGGTTATTAGAGTTGGCATATTGAGTCATCGTGACACTAAATATTGCATGGGATCTCGAAGATAGAGCATTCATATCTGTTGCCCCTACTTGACGATTTTGAGAACCTCGAGATAAGTGACTTTATGTATAAGGAATATAGAAAAAAATAAAATAAAATAAAATAAAAATAAAATAAAATAAAATAGTAATAGACAAAACAGTGATAAAATATATTTATAAATAAATAAAATAGAAAATGAATAAGATAATAATAAATAATGATAGTAAAAAATTATAAAATTAAAAAATTATTAAGCAATTTTAAGTCAAATAATAAAGATTACCTCATAACTTCTTCAACACCATTAACCCTAATTTCTTGTAATCCATTCCAAATTATATTTCCTTTTGAATCTTCTCTTATGGTAACTTGAGGTTTGTCACCAACATTGTCTGCAAGCAAATCTATTAAATCTTCATTATAAATCTCAATGAAACTAACTTTAATTGAAAATTTTCGAGATTTTAATGTTGAAGAATTCATTGTCTTAAATAGAGTTGAGATTGCTCGTGGAATTATTCCTTTGGACTCTGAAGGAATGTCATGTTTGTTTGCGGTGCCCATTGTGTGGGTTTTACCAGATGAAGTTTGACCATAGGCTAGAATCGTTACATTGTAACCTTTAGGAAAATAGTTGATACAACTTGTTAATAACGTTGTTTACATACTTTATATTCTTCATTCAATTTGACTACATTGTCATCTAATCTAATTAATATATGTATGTATCATGCTTGAGATTATGTACCCCGGATTGGATCGGTCCGATTCAAATCGGAACAGTTCCGACGAAAATTTTGTAATTTTGGCCAAAATTATAAAAATTATTCTAAACACTAATTCTGACACTAATGACACTAACGCTAATGCAGTATGCTAATTCTGCCAAAATAATTTACAAAATTCCGGACGATTCCAATTTGGGGTACGTCATATACTATCTATATCGATATCATTCTATTGACAAAATTCCGAATATATATAAATAATATTTCCTTGGTTCAATCATTAATAAAATTAAATTTTGTATAAACACTTTTGGTTTTTGATATATACAAAAGTTATCTAAATCACAAAGTTTTTATAATTATTCCAATATATATCATTTACATATAGGTATAATTTAATCTCTTACTATTCATTAAAAACTTACCCTCTAAAAACTGATGGACTAATTTCTCGACGCCTTTTTCATAGACTTCAGGCTGACCAGATTCGGGACCAAAAACGTAATCAAAATTAAAAGATTGTTTCTTTTCTCCTTGTACCACCACCACCTGATTTGGAGATTGTTGAGAAGTAGTAACTACAGGGCGTTGAAATCGAGATTGCTTTACAGATGAAGCTTCATTTACTATTGGTCTTATTCGGATAGCTATAATGAGAAAGAGATTGTAAGCCTATGTTTAACGTGTTATTTAGTAAGTGAATAAAGGTTTCTTTTTTATCATAATACACTTACCAACTTGTACAGAAGTCTTTTCCGAACTCCCGGTAGTAGCCATTAGCTTTTGAGTGGTGGTCGTATTTTAATAACTTATATCTTTTAATTTTTTTTTTTTTATATGTGTAGCCGAGAGTATTGGGTAGTAAATATATATAATAAGGAACGGAAAGGAATTTGGGTTCCAGCCCTCTTGTCAGATATATATTTGCACTAAATTGAAATATATATTACACAATCTTTAAAAATACTTTTAAGATTTAAAAAAAAAAAAGAAAAAAAAAAAAAAAAAAGATAAACGTCGAAATGTAATAAAGGAGATTGTCGTAGAATTAATGTAGTAATTGTATAAAAAAGGAATGAAAGGAAAATATGAAAAGGTCGGTTTAAGTGTCAGGTAGAATAGAAAGATCAATAGGATCAACGCTGTGGTGAAGTAATATCCCAACAAGCTGTCAAAGCGGATAAACGTGACGCTTCGGTATTAAAAAAAAAAAAAAAAAAAAGATTCAATTTTTTTTTTTTTTTTTTTTTTTTTTTTTTTTTATATTGACCTTCTTTCACAGTTGAGAAAGGATTTTTTTTTTAAAAAATTGAAGTAACAACAGCTTTCAGGTTTAATATTTCACACACTGCAAATACATCAATTTTTTAATAATAGTTGGTGCATTAAGATGTTGTCGTACTTCGCTTTCATTACTACTTTATGCGATCTACGGCATTTCGGAATATTTGATTGGTGTTAATCATATTGGAATGTAGCATTAGCATTATTGTTGATCGACATGGTCTTTGGCAACAATAGATGTTCAATGGCATCATATTTTAAGTCATTAGAAAAAAGCACATGTTGGTAATTTGGAAGATTTAATTCATTTCTTTACTTATATGTTTAAACGATTTTTCAAAAAATTTCTCTTACATTTTTCATTTTATAATCTTTAAAAGCATAATGTCGAAAGAACTTTTTATACCGTAATAGGTAACCAAAAGAAATGAGCCAAATCATGATCGTAAATAAAACTTTATCGCTGTGCATATGATTACATGAGTCTTGTATATAATTGAGCCCATTGTTAGATTACTTTCAGAATGTTTTGATAAGAACGAATCCATAACGTAAAGATTATTAATGAAGATGTGATGGATATAAAAGGCTTTCTAAAATGTGCTCCAAAAAGTTTCAACAATATAGTACTAAACTTTTCTGTAATATTATTATGGAATCAAACTTTCTGTAATATTATTTGATCAAATAATAATAATCTTACATTCTTGTGTATAAATAAAAAAGCGAGCATTCAATTTCTGTACAGTAATTACTGTGATTAAACATTTCGTTTTTTACCTTATACGACTTATACGTAGTATCATAACATTGCATGAATATCATTCCTTCCATATTCGTGTATAATATATTACACCAAGTATAACACAAATTAACGATACTGAAATTTATAAGATTAATTTTAACTTTTATTAATTTTGCGTTTTGTATAACCGTGATTATACTTTCGAAAACGACAGTACATTAACTCTAAAAAAACTGTAGCGTTTCTCCTTACATCGTGCATTGTCAATATTATCCGAAACTCATTGATCACATTACACATGAATTAATTAATGGAATCCGGTTATATGTGTCTTTAGGATACAATATTTTCCGTGCCGTTCCACTCTCCCAATTGTAACCCTTAAAAATCACATGATCTGCATAAACGAATCAAACAGTAAGGGACTAATAATTTGGTATAAACAAACCCGCAGGAGAATATAAATATTAATAAAATAATTACAGATTTGTGAAATTGTCTATTCTTGTCTGCTTATACGCAGCAATTCATGGATTCGATTTTGCATATGTACGCATGGTCGTAAATATGCATCTGAAATTAAAAGCTTGTAGGGTTAAACATTCGTGCATAAATACTCAAAATTGATGTCACAAAGTGACTTCATATAAATACATTACTAGGATGACCCTGTCTAAGTCTTACATATAAATCTATTAATATTCGGTTATAGGCTTCTAGTCATAATTGTCCGAATTGTAGAACGTAATAATAAACCAGATCTTAAGTTAGACGATCCTCAATTTACCTATATAGTATGCATATACTAACCAATATGTTTGTTTCTATTTTTAGTTAACCATCATGATAATATCATAATTAACTCGTACTATACCTATTTTTCTAGTTAATAGAATTTCTAATTTTGTGTGCTATGACTTTCGAGCTGTGTTTATGCTGCAATTTATAATGTAAGCCAAGAACTTTGACACACCTTAAAGCATAAAGACGTGGTGACTCAAACCAGGCTTCATATTTAGAGTAAACGCTAATTTATTTAGTTTTGTGTGAAACCTTTAATTCTAAGAAAAGAAATTCTCGTTCAAAATTCTGAAACAATCAACATCTTCAGTTCTGTAAAGAATTGCTTTACTAAACTTGATGCATTAAAGAAACTACCTTTAAATAAATATCAAGTGATTCGTTGATATAATGTAGGCAAGACCCTATTTTTCAATGTAATTATTAAGTTAAATCGGTTAATACCATAACAAATTATAATTTTGATGATAATGAACTTTGAGAATAAAGTCGGTGTATATAGATAAAGTTTTTGTACGTACTACGTACAAGGAAAAAATAATTCGTTTTGCTCACAATATTTTGATACTGTTTTGGTGCTGATCTGCGTGACGTATTCACTATTATACTGTATACTAACAATTATGAAAATAATCCTTTCTTCCTAATCAAGTTAAATGATTATCGTTTACCAATCAATTTCCAAATATTTGTTTAAACGATATAAAAATTAACATTAATGATTTATTGTAATTAGTAAAAATTGTTACTATGTTTGTGTATTATTGGAAATTTAGTTTACAAAAATTACTAATAACTTTTTATTTATTTTATACTAATCATGGTTGTGCATCAGAGCACAAGTTCTATTGTAAAATGCCGGAGATTCCTCCAACTTCCGGCCCACAGTCGGAAATTTTCCGGTTTTATAATCTATTTCGACTGTAGTTCCGGTTTAAAAAAAACTCCCCAAATTCAGCAAATTCCGGCCGGAATTGATAAATTTTGCACAAGATTGTTCAAAATTTACCAATAAACACGGAAAAAGCACTTCAAAATGAAAATAATCTTACATTAGGTAATATAATATACATTTTTTAAATACATTTTAATAAATTAATGTTAAAACACTGATTTACTATCGCTATAGTATAGTTGGTTGCTTAATGCCGGCCAAGCTCTGATGCATCTGGCCTGGAATTTTGGCCGATCTGAATTTTGGTAATTAATTTCCCATTGGTCGAAAATAAATCGCGGATTGTAAATGCTTTGACATTAAGAAATAGGAGATAATTTTCAGAAAATCGAAATTTTTTTTTTTTTTGTGATTTAAGGTGATCTCTTGGTTAGTGATTTATTATTAGAATTTTAGGCAATTGTAATGAAAGTACAACTAGCCACTGCGTTTTTAGTGCCATCTACACTAGATGCTTCTACCTGCAGCCCAAACTAGAATTACCTATTTAAACTTTCTGGTCACAATCTTTACCATACCCCATCTTAACTTAAATATAATCTTACTACAGTTGTCCCTCCATATAGTCATCTCCCATATAATCACATCATAGGTAATCACATTTTTATTTTGGCCAAACCATAATTTAATTTATAAGAAAAAAACTTCTATATAAGCACAACCTCTTTATAAGCACATTTTTAAAAAAAGTTACTATGTGCCCAACTGTGTGATTGTATGGGAGGATGACTGTACTTATAATTATAAGCAAAGCATTAACAAGAATGTAATTAGAATATCTTAACAACATATTAACAACTAAAAGAATAATTATATTAAATAAATAATAGCATATCTAATTAATTAAAAAGAGAACAAGAAAGTTTAATATATAACAGAAAAAAGTATCAAAAACAGAAATAAGTAGCTTTATATTTAATTGTATTATAAACAAACTATGAATATTATTAAAACATATATATTGACAAAATATTCATTTTGCTTTTTTGCATATTTAATTATATGTACCAATTCAATAATAAATTTCACAAAAATGAAATCAAATATATTTGAAAGTTTTAATAACTGTATATTTGTATAAATAACAATTATTTTTAAAGCAAAAGTTATACTATTATACAAGAGTAAGATCAAATTGTGTTGGATAATTTTTAATAGTAATAGTAATTAATATAAGAATCTAAAAAGATATATTATACAAATTAAAATTAAGCTATACAAAAAACTCTTTCTAATGATCACTAGTAGAGAGTTGAGTAGCTATAGTAATAGTTTGTAGTAAAAGAGATTAACTTTTTCTAAAGACTCTTTGCTATTTATTTGGTATGCAAGCCAAAAGCCTTGTTAAGATGAAAATACAAGTAGCACTCTTGGCAAGCAAAAATTTTGGTAGACAAAAGCTCTGTCAATAAAGTTCTATAGACTACAGGTTTAAGAGGTCTATAATAGTAATTTTTAAAACAAACAAAATATTAACCTTGCTTAGAGGACTCTTCTTTATATTCGACATGCAAGCCAGAAACAAACTATGCAAAGAAAAAAAAGGCAGATAACACTTCTAGATATAGAAATTTTGGTAGAAAATAATTCTATTGACAAAACTATTTGGACATTTTGGAATCCAGAAGTACAGTTTTCAACACTTTCTTGAACTTTCTATACTTGTTTTTATTCCATCATCATTTTTCACTAATTTTTTTTAAAAAAATATAGGGATTTGGCTACTTCTCTCTAAATAATCAATATTGTTTACCACTTCTATTTTTAGAAGTTCTGGTTGTGATATGATATATTAAAGACACAACAAATATGTGGCAATTAATATTAGTAGATTTAACTTGTAAAAGAGTTTTAGTTTGTTTTTAAATACTTTTATTAGTATTATGTGAGATATACGTTATCTCAAAGATATTTGTATAATATTTTTTTAACCTAGTACAGGTTTTTTTTTTTAAAAAAAAAAAATTTAGCAGTCTTGTCTTCACTTTATTA